CGGAAAGCGAACTAGTGGCCTTTAAGTTGGCCTTAAAGACCCACTTCTTTAAGCAGGCTTTTGAGGCCTAGCTTGTTTTATTGTTTTGTTTTAGCTTTGGTCTAGCACCCTAGTATTTTCTTATCTGTTTTATAGTCATTGTCTTGTTTTGTGTGTTTTTATTGTACAGCACTCTGGTGCTCCTATGAGTTGGAGCGCGCTATATAAATAAAGTTTTATTATTATTATAATTTAGTAAGTTGTCACTTTAACCCAAATCTCAGTCTTTCCTTAAACCTAACCAACTTTTTGTCTCTAAACCTTACAAAGTTGATTTCATGCCTAAACCTGGTATGCTCTGGTTTTATTGTGGTAAGCAATTCAACCAATTCATTCCAGTACATGATAACAGCCTACTGAGCTGATGAAGAGGTAAAGAGCCCTACCAGCCCATATCTATGGTCCAGATAATTGATAATGTCTATTGAATGGTGTGATAGTTTTAAAGTCTATGCATTTTTGTCTGTCTGGGTCTTTGGCCTCAGGGTTGACAGCTGAAGGATGAGACCTTGGTGCTGAGTCAAAACAATTACCAATGTGCGATCTGGAGAAGAAACAGCCACAAACATTCAGCATCAATCAGGTTACACAGAATCTACTCACACAGACACAGTGTGCAATCAAGAAAGCTACAGATTCAAGTCAAGAATCTTTATTGTCATTATGCATAGCACAACAAAAAATTTTCTGGCAGCTCTTGGCTTAGAAGACGGACATATTATTTACATAAAACACAATTGCATAAGTCAATATAAAAATATGAACAAATAAAAAGGGATGTATGGGACCTAATCATGTTAGCAGCAAGAGTGTAGTAACATTATAAGGTGCAGCTCAGTGCAAATCTCAGTCTATATTTTAAATGGTCTATAGGCCCAGAAAGTTTGGGAATGCCTGTTGTAGAACAAAATGTGAGATACAATAATGCAAGTAACAATGCAAGGAAATAATGTAAAAAGACATCTACATTATGTCCATGAGGACATTATGGTGGTGCATGCTGAGAAACCTTTCCACATGCCTGCTTCCAGCAGGCCAAATCTTTTTTTAATGCTATAGTAACTTTTACTTCGTTACCTGTGAGGATTTTATCATTATTATCTTTGTTTGCTACTTTTGCCCACACCCAAGATTGTGTCTTGTGGTCAGCAGTAATGAATGTATTATGGGAACTGGATCATGTTCACCTGGCAAATGCTCCAGGTTTGCATCCATATTATGTGGCCCATTGCACATAGAGATTTTCATTGCACACTCCCACTGATGACTCACTTTTGTAGGCTTTGTCAGGAACAGCACGTAAAGCTGCCGATGATGTCGAGGTGAACTCAATTAAAATGCCAGAGAAGTAAAAGCAGACACTGTCTCTTTAATTTGCGCACTAGCAATGAACAACACAATATAAAAACTACTTAAACAAGAAACGCACTCACAGGATGGAAACAGAGTCCAGGGTCAGAACCAGCAAAACTCACACAGCCAAGGGATCCAAAACAAGATGTCAGAGAGAGAAATCTGATAATGAAATACATAGAAAACAGTTCGAATCAGGAGGGCAAGGCAGTACTTGGTGGTCAAAAACAATCCGTTGTCAGAACAGGAAATAGAGGCACAAGAAAAACCGCTGGAAAGTCTGAACATGAGTCTAGAATGATCTGGCAGCTTTCTGACTAGCACAAACATGGCGCACACCGAGGCAGACATGTTTGCGCGTTCCACTCTCGAATTGACTTTCTGGTATGTCCCAGACTGTCAGGATTGGCAATAGGATTTCAGCCAGCATTGTTACAAACACTGGGACCCCACAGGGATGTGTCCTCCGTCCCATCCTCTACACCCTGTTCACCCACAACTGTGTTGCCTCCCACAAAGACAACATCATCCTAAAGTTTGTGGACAATACCGCAGTGATAGGTCGCATCACTGTCGGGGACAGAGCAGCATAAAGGAGGGAGATGGCCGGTCTGGTGTCATGGTGCAAGGACAATAATCTCAGCCTCAACACGGACAAGACGAAGGAGATGATAGTGGACATGCGGAAGGAAAGGAGATCTCATCAGCCACTGTTAATCCGGGGGCTCGAAGTGGAGAGGGTGAGCAGCTTCAAATACCTGGGCATCCACATCAGTGAGGACCTCACTTGGACACTCATCACCACACAGCTGGTCAAGAAGGCCCGACGGCAACTGTACTTCCTGAGGAGGCTGAGGAGGTTTGGCATGTCGCCTAGGATCCTTTGCAACTTCTACAGCTGCATCATTGAGAGCATCTTGACCAGCTGCATCACTGTCTGGTATGGCAGCACTACTGCTATGGACCGCAAGCGCCTGCAGAGAGTGGTAAAGACTGCGGAGAAGATCACCAGGACTCCACTGCCCTCTCTGCAGAGCATTTACCACCGCAGGGTGTGTAGGAAAGCTGCCTCCATCCTCCTCAAAGACACTCACCCCCAGCATGGACTGTTTGCCTCCCTACCCTCTGGCTGGAGGTTCAGAAGTGTGAAGTGTAGGACCTCCAGACTGAAAAACTCTTTCTTTCCCTCTGCCATCAGACTCATATACAGCTGAGGAGTTTGTTACCAGGAAATACGTCATGTACCAATTACCTGTACTGTTTACAGTCTTAATTTGCACATGCATATGTAACCCACCTATACGGTAAGGGCCCTGAGTTCAGTCAACCCACAGTAACAACAACTGACAAATCCCAAATCTCTAATAAACCTCTACCTTATATGCCCTTAGATCCCCCGAGTGCTGTATGCAGTAACCACACACATATGAGAGTTAACGTTTCCTCATTTACTTAACACAAGATCAGGATAAACCATAAACAATAACAATCTCTTTTGTAGATATATTTAACTTTTCTGTTTTCTGTAACACATTTTCAGTGTTTCAAACTGAACACACCAATATAGTGGGCCCACATATCATACTCACTCTACCCCAGCCGGCATATATATGGAGAATTTACCCCCATTGCAGGCCTGTTGGATGCTCGGGTGCGGTGAGGCCAAAAACGGAGCAGCTGTTTCACTCCTAGAAGCTAAACAAAAGCTTTAGGTCTTGTCTAAGATGATAATTCACCACTGTGACATTGTAGATAAGTCAAACCAAGAAAAAGCATGTCATAGGCTCTTTAAGCATTAAGTGCATGTCTCTGAGAGAGTCACTGAATTTTTATATCAAATCAAATTTTATTTGTATAGCGCCAAATCATAACAAGTCATCTTAGGGCACTTTACAAAGTAAGGTCTAGACCTCACTGTTATCACTATTATTACATAAGGAAAACCCAACAAATCCCCCTTGAGCAAGCACTTGGCAACAGTGGGGAGGAAAACCCCCTTTAATGGAAGAAACCTCCGACAGACCCCGGCTCTTGGTGGGCGGCCTTCTGCCTCGACCAGTTGGGGTGAGTGGATAGAAGAGACAGAAAATAAGAAAAGCAACAAAACACAACAAACAATCAAACACTGGTCAGGTTGTTGTGGCCGGTGACTGCTCATCAGAAACATAGAGCTCCAGGGCCAGGGCAACCTGCAGAAAAGTACAGGGATAGAGAGAGGACACACTACGGGAGAGGGGAGACACAAAGTTAGTGATGTGTAGTGGTGGCATATAGAAGCATGGAGAGAGAGGAAAGGAGAGGAGAGAAACTCAGAGCATCATGGGCCCCCCCAGCAGCCTAGGCCAATAGCAACATAACTAAGGGAAGGCTCAAGGTCACCTGATCCAGCCCTAACTATAAGCTCTATTAAAATGGAAAAGTCTTAAATATACTCTTAAAAATCCTTTAGTTGAGAATGCAACCAGTGGCAACAACTTTTTGTTTTACCTTTTTAAGTTTTACCCCTGGTATTGTTTTGTGATTTATTTAGATGGGATGGGGAAATACTAAACCAAATTAATATGAATGTATTGAATTTGGATTTCATTTTGACATTAGACTCCTACAGACTTAACACTGAATAAATGCATATTTATCTAACATAGTATATCTTTTACATGCCAGAGTCTGAGTGAAAATTCTTCCAAAATCTCTCCAAATACACTTCAAGTTTTAACATAGTGGTGTTAATGACAAGGCTCCATCGTATCTTAAAGACCTCGCAGAGCCTTATCATCTCAACAGAGCACTTTTCTGTCAGAGTGCAGGTTTACTTGGGGTTCCTAGAGTCCACAGAAGTAGAATGGGAGGCAGAGCCTTTAGCTATCAAGCTCCTCTCCTATGGAACCAACTCCAACAGAGAGAGAATAGATGTGACACCTTTCATCAAACTTAATTTGACAGGTGGCCCCGCCCCCTTTGTCCCTTTTTCAGCCAATCAGAATCGGTTTCCGGTCCACATGGTCCCCACGTGGCCCCCGCGTGGTACTTGGGTGTACCCTCCAACCCCCCTGCATCTGCTGATGAAGATAAGGAAGTGATGATGTATCTCTAACTGCAGATCAGGTGGTTGTGGTCAACCGCAACTGAAAAAGATAAACAAACAGAAGTTACAATGTGTACACGTCTGTTATTGTATAGATAGGAATATAACTGTATTTTGATATTGGTTTTAGGTTGATCCTATAAAATGATGTTTGGAATAAAACACCTAACAGTGGTTCACTTGTTCATTTTTACTATCTGTTGTAAACAATGAGCTACAGTGTTTTTCTATGCACAAAAAAAGAGTAGTAAGATAAAATGGTCAAACTACAGTCAATGAACAGCGTTTTCTTTATACTCTGTGAAAAAGACAGAATTTCAAACTACTGTCAATGAATAGCGTATTTAGTACATTATTTTTGAACAAACATTTTAGCGGTTAGGGGTGAACACATACCTGCCTTTTTAATGTGTCCCTCTGTCACGGTTGTAGTTTTGCTTCTCCACCCCGCCCCCTCAACCGTTGCGGTTACAGCCCCCCCTTTCTGTAAAGCAGAGATAATAGTGCAGTAAACGTTTTTTCGTGTGTGAGAGAGCAATACTCAGGGTGTTATCAGTAACAGACGCTGTGCCTACAGCAAAGCCAGAGTTCTGTTTATCACTAACCACTGCTTAGGCAAGCATACCGTTTATAAAACTCTGTTATAAATACCTTGGGTTTAAAGAATGGGTTTAAGGAGCGTTTTTAGAGGTGTCCAGACAAGACAAGACCAGCATGAGCACAGGTAACTCTGCAGGAAAAACAAATTACAATTATTTTTGTTCTACTTGAAAAGTATGTGTGTTAACGCTACATCTTAACTCACACCAGGCGGGTTCAACAATGCTAATAACAGGGCTCCTGTGGAAGACCGATTCAGTAAGTATTTTACCTGCTACTTTTTTACCTACCAATTCTACTATACGTATATTTTCTTAAGAAACTATTCTACACCCTACAGACACCTATTTTCGTGTTTATGAACGAGCTTTTCGACAGCAGCAACAACAACAACAGGCGATACTGACACAGCGTGTGTATGGTAAGTTAAAAAGAGCAGAACAACGTGGTTAAAAACTATATATAGCCTTATCCAGACAATACAACTGAACTCTCTCTTTTTTTTCTTTTCAAAAAGATCCTGCTAACCACCACCAACAACCCTTACCTGACCCTCAAGAAAGTGAGTATCTCTATCTGTATAACTTTTTTAAAAATATATATAATAATTGTTCCCCTCCTTGAACTGCCACCTTATTGTGGTGGAGGGGTTTGAGTACCCGAGTGATCCTAGGAGCTATGTTGTCGGGGGCTATATGTCCCTGGTAG